ACGCTACACATAAAAACTGATGATGGTGGAAAAATACACCGAAACGTATTTTGATTGATAAATAGAGATAATAAATGACTGAAACTCAGGCATCAATTTGATTTGTATAGATAGTTTGATTCTTCGAAACTTCATTCTTTTTAGTTGTTTGGATGAAAGTTTAAATAGCTTAGAAAGGCGCGACAGGAATCGAAAATATACAGAATAAAACTGCATATTAATCTGAGATAATCTGAGTTTTGTCATTGATTTGCCGCAGTTCACGCTGACAAAGCTCAATCAAACAGCGAGCCAAAACTGACCGAAGACTCAACCCCAGACATTTCGCCCAACATACGAAGAAAAGGATCTCAAAGAAGAGGCACATCGGTTTACCAGCGGAAATCCACAGCTTTCTTGGACGTGCCCGAATCGAGGAAAGCTGCGGCCAGTCATAGCAACACTGAAGGAGAGGACGATGAGGACAGCTACAGGTTGCGGAGCTTCAGTTTTACCTCCAAAGGTAATTTTTATCGCTTCAGTAGTTGATCGGAGTCTTAATGTTTTAATCTACAATGTTTTGTTGTATAACTTTGTTGGGAACCAATCATTTTCTTGGCGTGCCTAAATCCTAGTTGAAACGCGCCTTCCTTGGCACGTAGCCGTCCGATAAAAGTGAAAAAAATTGGCATGATTTCTTATTTATTTACACCTCGATGTGTTTGTCGCTATCAGATTAAATGACCGCATGATACACATATTTGTTTATGTTACGTGTAGGAATATTTTTGTTTTTTATTGGCGGGTCACGAGAAACGGACGCTTGTTTTTCCTGAGTGACCGAATTTCCGAGTGAAATTGATGCATTCATTATTTTGAAAGATATCATCGTTTTGGAAGCAAATTGAACCAATTTGGGGCATAATTGGGCAAAAGGTTTGCAGCTGTCGAAAAAAAACAGTAAATTATGATCGCTAGTTCAAAAGTTTTTCAACGCGTGCGAACTCTCATTAGGGACTATGCGTTAGGTTTTACTGGGTCATCGTTGAGCAAATGTTCTTTGTCGTTAAACTACCGCTGAGATTGTCGGCTATTTTTAAGAACCATTTGGAATTGTTCATTACGGCGCTATATATCATCTTGTTTAAACACTTGTCCAATCAATAAGGGTTTTACGTTGGCTCAGTGGAATCGGATAATTTATTATCAACATTTCCACATTTCGAGATTTAAGACGGGAAGCGTTGTAAAATTTATCGTAACTTCGGTAAACTGATTTCGAATTAAATCGAAGGAATATGGTTTTTTTACTTGCGTGGTAGTCAAGGGCGGATCCAAGAAATGTTGGCATAATCTTGCTCCTAAGTGTCTGATATTTAAATTTCACTTTCTGTGTCAAAACTACTAGAATTTTCTCACTCATGTTGTTACGACTGAATCGACTTTTCAATTCTCTATCCAACGATGCCAAAACGAATTATCTGGCTCGAATGGTTCTTGATAAACTTCGGAAAAAGCAGCGTCATGTTCAAGTGGATTTTGCAACTCAAAAAAACCACGCAAATCTAAAACTTCTTGAATTCAAGCATTTTTTGAGAAAACTGCCAACATTTTGGTTTGAAGCGAAAACAATGAAATAACTTGAACGCGGCCTTCGCTAATTTATTTTAAAATGCACTAGAATGGTATCAAACGGGATTGAATGTGCGAGCTCTTGGAAAATATCTTTTTGCTATTACCCGTTTATTTTTCATGCCGATTAAAATAGATTCGCTATGATGGACGCGTGTTTAGCTTTTCCGATTCGCATTCGTGTTTCCAAGTGTAAGTGCTTTGTTCGGAAAGTTCAAGAGTGGATACTTTGGAATGGCAACAACATTCGACCTCTGCGCTGACAAATTTAGCTTCACACCACTAACATTTTTATAAACCATCAATTTATCATACGCATTCTTCGCGATTGCTTGGGGCAGTCAGCTCCAGCTGCTTATTCAATTAATATTTACATATCTGTCTGGTCTGGTCAGTTCAAAGTCTGGCGAGCCTCAGTTGTTCTTCCCGGTCCTCGATCTCTCGTTTTCGTATGCTGGACAATTTTTCCTGTAACTATGAGTAAAGACACTCAGATATTCATATTTTTGTTCAAAATTT